TATTCCTTGCCTCTATACACTTTTTTTCCACCCCTTTTCCTGTCTCAGAGTCCGCTTTCTCCCCCCCCAGATCCCCCCCAGGGAGGATGGTGGGGGGGGGAATTCTGGGAGTTGAAGTCCGCACATCTGAAAGTTGCCAAGGTTGAGAAACACTGCTCTAAATGAACCAGGGGTCAGCTCCAGTCTCCTTGAAATGACGCAGTGGGAGGCCTCTGCCAGCACAGCCGTGGCGTGCCAGTGGCCAACATTTTGGGATCAGGGTGCCTGGAGGAGTGAACATGCCCTCATCAGCTCATGCATCAGGGTAATGCACTTTGAAGAAGACCTGGAAATCCCAGCTGGGGCTGAATGACCCCCCGCTGGCTGGGCAGTGAGAGCCATTTCACCAGGGTTAACTCCAATATTGCAAGCGTGCAATTAGCTGCTGCAGGTTGGTCAAAAAAGTCACGATGGCGCATTGGCTCCACCTGCCAGTTTGTCCCTGGCTCCATTTTGAAATGGATGATTGATACGAACGATAAAGCCCTTTGTGGCTCAGGCAGGGCCTGGGGACCTGCAGGACTGTTTGAGTCAGGCAGCCTCGTAAATGCTTGAAATAAATGCTTGAATGCTTGCTTGCTTGCTCGCTCCAAGTGGCGCTTGTGCCTCCAAGCTGTGCAATCTGAGATGGTGTGGACTTTCCCCTGAACAGGATGGTGAAATCCCATCCAGAAATGCAACTTTGAGGTGGACGGCCTAGGTGAAATTCAGGATGGGACCCTCTCAACTTTTAGATTCAGTTCGCTTAGTAAGTAAAACAAGTTATTAAAGCGTTTCCTTTGCTAGGCTTTGGGGCTGAGACGGGCTACTTCTTGGAGCAGAAGGGGTGTCTGCAGGTGTGGTCAAAAAAGTCAGGATGGCCATGACAAAGTGCAATCAAAGCTCTGCCCATTTTTAAACGGGTGGAGCTTCACTTGCACCTTGGTGGCCACCATCCGGACTTTTTAAAATTGTATTCTGTAGACACCCTTGCAGCTGCCAATTTAATGTCCACTTTTAGGGGATTTAGTGATGGAATGGCTATTTAATTTATTATCTTTTAGTGATGATGGTGCTGCATTGGATTTTATGAGGCTGTGAGCTGCCCAAGTCTTGGCTAGGGGGAGCACATATGCGTCAGAACAAAACCAGCAACAGAGAATAGCCCTTTGCCTTTGTGTCTGATAAGAGACTCCAAGCTGTGGACCGGAAGTACAAATTAATGCAACAGCAAAGAAGAGACCATTTCAAGAACAGCAGTAAATCAGCATAAATTGGTCTTTGCTCAGAGAGGAAGAATTCCTATCTTCTTGCAGACTTTTTTTACGAGATGGATTCTCCACCTAGGTCACAGAGAGGCATTTGGTGACTTTCAAGAAGCAGCTTCAAAGGTTGTGTGTGAACGAAAGCACCAGCGTGAATTTTTGGTTCGTGTTTGTCTCGCACACTTCCAACTTCCAATCTTCTCTCATGCAACATTGTAAGAAGTTGAACTGTAAATTCCTTATACTTCTAAAGATTTCTCTCTACAACTTGCAATCTGTCCAGTTAGTCTAATGCAGCCGATCAAGATAGCTTTAACATTATCAACTAAATTAACAACAGAATCCTTACAGATTTTCAACATAGGTTTGTGAGGTTTTTAGGGTATTTGTGAGGTTTTTAGGGATTATATATTATATATATACTTTATATAATATTATATATTATATATACTTTATCCCAAGCATATGGTGTGTGATGTTCCTCTAAATTTAATACTGAAGTTTTATACCAAAAAAAAAAGAGAGAGAAAAGGGGCCACAGATTTCCTTTGTCAAGTCAATAGATTACAGTACTCAACCATTTTCAGCCTCTGTCACTTCAAGAAATGGTCTCTACCCTTGCCCAAGAGATTCTCTTCCAGAATGTACACTGGGGCTACTCAGTTTAAAAACTTGTTTAGGGCATCATGAAAGCGTAATTTGGATTAGAACAAATAACCCTTAGGAACTGCAATTTTATGGGTTGGAGGGCTTGTACTTGTGCTGAATTGCTCAGTGCCCACATCCCTGGGTGTGAATGATTGTTGCCAGTAGAGTCCAAGCAATTGCTGGAATCACAAGAGTCCCAGGAAGGTGGTTGTGGTAGATCTTGGGTTGGACCCAGACCTAGACTGGGCTCCCACGTTTAGTAAGCTATAATCAATCATTCAACAATATGGTTTGGTTTTTTTGAAGCTTACCATGCTATGTGAATCTAGCCATTATGGCTTGTAAACTCCTGGTTTATGGCTTATTGCAAAAGGTATTCCTAGCCCACTGAAGCTTTGTTAATATCCAGAGTTAACAAAATTAACACCATGTGAGTAGATTTAATTAAATCAGTGGGGCTTGCTAATAGCAATTAACTTGTTCCATTGATTTCTACTGGTTTATATTGAAATCTAGAGCCAACCTGTTGATAGTTCCAACACAGTCAGACATGTCAGTTTAATGCATTTCATTGTGAATTCTGAAGAAATCTGAAAAAGACACCTAAGTGACCTTGAAAAATATCCAGTGATATTTGACAATTAATTTGTTTCTGCTTGAATGCCATCTTGATTTCTTGCCCTATTGTATTGAATGACAGAGAAATGCAGTCATACAATGAACTCAGATTGGAGAGTGAACAGCAGAACCAACCAACCAACCTTCCTTCCTTCCTTCCTTCCTTCCTTCCTTCCTTCCTTCCTTCCTTCCTTCCTTCCTTCCTTCCCTCCCTCCCTCCCTCCCTCCCTCCCTTCTCCCCTCCCCTCCCCTGAGGCCTAGGGAAAAAGTGCATCTCTATTCAGAAAATAATCTTTCAGCAGGATCACAATTGTGCTGAAGTGCATCTATTCGGTTTCCTCCATGCATCTGTTTTTCAGGTCACTTCTGCAGTGTGACATCTAGAGAGAACTAGTTCAAACAATGGATTAGCCTTAAGGATTAGAGCTGTGTGAGAAGAGGTGACATCACAGCGTATCCAGCTACACATTAACTCTCCTATTCCTAAGCCACTTGTAATTTTTTTGACAAAACAAGCAGCAGCTTAAGCTCACCATACTCCATTCTGGTGCACAGGTCTGGAGAAGAACCATGAATAGGTCAAGATATACCGCGATAACGGACGGAGGTAGTTAAGAATTCCTCAAACTGGCAAAACTGGATTTTAGCCCCAACCAGGGTGTAGATGTTCTTTTAGGTGGTGGCTTCCAATCCTATCACAAAGCCTTGGAGGAAGAGGGAAGTGGATCTCTTGCTCACCGTCAAAATCAGTGTATCAAGAGGAATTCATGGGACCTGTACTACAGTATGCAAATGACAGAGTGGATCAAGCCAGAGTAATGATCCTTGATCCCTTCAGTCGGAACATAGTTTCTTGACAGCAGTGAGCCAACGTATCTCCACACCTGGGATGCAGCACAGAAGCCCTACCTGAAAGAGGAGCCACAGTCTATTCTCAAATGGGTAAGAACAGCAGGAAGTGAGATCTCCTTTGCTACTGTACCAACAAGACCTACCAAGTATGGAAAAGGCAATTATGTGGGCAGAGCCAGGGGAAATGGCCCGGTCCAGAGACGGCAGCGCTTTGGGCTATAAAGGCTTGTATGGATTAAACTCAAGTAACCTGCAGGGCTATCTACTCAGGGGCAGCCTGCCCCACTCTGTCAAGTCTCCAACTGTTTTTACATTTTAATTTTATTATTCATTAAAAATATTAGTGTACCACTTCCAAAGCAGTAACACTGATTAAAAAAAGCCTTATTTTCTGTGTCCTAAAAGTTTTCCAATGATGATGAATTAAAGGTCTATTGAACAGAGCTATACATGCTCCCGGATATTTAGACACATGGTGGTCAAGGTTCTTTGAGAAACAGTGAGGGCACCACGGCTGGCAAAAACAGATATGAGAAGGGCCAGATGTTAAGCTGCTTTTCAAAAGAAGTGGGTCATCCTTTCCAGTAGTAAAAATACTGGAGAGAACTGCATGGTCTACAGTGGACACCTGAATTCCTGTTCACATGTTCCCTTGGCAAGCTGAAACACTGGTGGCCCACCATGGAGATCTTTAAGCCACTTCTACAGAAGGGCTTTCAACAGAGGAGATAAACAGCCAAAACACCGAACAAGAGCCTCAGTGCAGTGCAGAGAAGCCGCTGAGCTTCTGGAACCATTTTCTCTCAAACTCCACAGCCGACACGGTCATGATGGATGTCAAGGTTGCAGCAGATAAGCATTGCACCTCTTCCTGAGCATCCTCTTTCAGCTTTTCCCGGACAAGATCTTCTCCCATAGCCTGCAAGGAAATGAATATGCGGGAAGCACAAGTTTCAGTTTCACCCCAGCTTAAAAAACATTCAGAAAAGAACCAAACCCTAGCTTCATACTGGAGCAAATGTTCAGCACACAAAAATAACAAGTTAATAAAGTCCAATAATGAAATTGCTGCCAATCAGAGCAGGCAATATTGAGATTAATAAGCAAACAGATTAAATCTGATAAGGGGCAGCTTTCAACCATCCTCCCAGAACCCACAAAATACTGATCATATTTCAAAGAACATAATGATTTAAAATCCACATTGTTCCAGTAGGCGCTTTGTCGCTGTTCTTACATTATTATCAGCAATAGTACTTAGATTTATAGCCTGCCCTTTTCACAGGCATTCAAGGCACTTGGCATAGGGCTATTCCTTTATTTTATCCCCATAATGTTCCTGTGGTCTAGGCTGGGCTAAAATTTATGTATTTATTTAATACAATTTAGAGACCATCTGCCTCCAAACAACTCTGGAAACAATTAAAAAAAGAGTAAGAACAATAAAAAATAGAGACACAGTTCATAAATATCTGAGAGAGAGAGAAACAGCCACAAATCATATTCAGTGACTTTCCATGGCTGACAGTATACCCAATCCTGCATCTCCCCAATCCTAGTCCTGCATTTTAACTGGACACAGTCTTTCAATAACAGACTAGAAATGGGTAAGAGAACACAAATGGTTTAAGAGCTGCCCTGAATTCACAGATCATGTGCAACTTTCTATGCCTTTGTACTCATGCAAATGTGCTGTGATGGTCAATTCTGGTGACTATTAAGCCAGGAAGGCACAGCTTTTTCTGAGCCAAGAGCCACAGCTGGCCCTGGATGTGCTGTGGGCTAGTTCTCCAAAGCAGGGGATGGCTGATTGTACTATTTAAGTTGACTTTGAAAGAGCTGTTTTGACTGCAAAATGATCTGTCCAACCTCACAGGAAATTCTCAGGCTTTTCCAGCCTTATTGGAAGCGTTCTGATCTTGAAATGACTCTGTTTTACAAACCTTTAGAGCAATGTTTCTCAACCTCAGCAACTTTAAGATAGGTGGACTTCAACTCCCAGAATTCCCCAGCCATTCCGGGAGTTGAAGTCCATACATCTTCAAGTTGCCAAGGTGAGAAACGCTGCTCTAGTGGATGAGGCCTGGACAATAATTCATGTCACGTTTAATTAAAATTAAAAATTGTTACTACGATTGTCTAGTAATGCAGTAATTTAGTAATTTGCCCTTTCTGTCACCTTATAATTATAATATGATGAACTGGGAGAGATCTAGGTTCCCGAAGCCTTGAGTTCTCATCTTATTCACCACTTTACTAAATGGAACTTGAAACTGTTGTCAAAAAAATGGTTAACTGAATGCTTAACTTGCCATGCTGTTAACCATGATGGAGAATAAGCACTAAGAAAAAGAGACTTGTTTTGGGACGCATGGGAGGTTAAAACTAGTTTTGTGCCAATAAATAACATGTTGCTTTTTTTTGCCTTCTTTCAATTCTTAACACTTAACTGCAAATAAATACACAGACATTATAACGTGTTCCACAAAGCATTTTTCCACTACAAAAATGGGTTTTCCTCATGAAAAAAGCACCTATAAACTGGCTAAAAGATTTTCAATGGGGGTAAATTTCAATAGGGGTAAATAAAAGATATTCAATATGGATAAAAACTATGAAGGGTTGAATCTTTTCAGGGGGACTGAAAAGGTATAAGATAAAATAATTCTTCATAAAATTTGAGATTTGTTTAATGTCACCACTTATGGTGTCTATAAACTATGTTGCTCTCCTATTTATACAGTGGGGCAAAAAAGTATTTAGCCACCAATTGTGCAAGTTCTCCCACTTAAAAAGATGAGAGAGGCCTGTAATTTTCATCATAGGTATATCTCAACTATGAGATATGTGATTTTCTGGATTTTTTCCCCCATTTTGTCTCTCATAGTTGAGGT